TGAATGCCAAACTCTGGCCATTTTATGCTCCTTTTTTCTCATTCCTTATTCCTTTGCCTCAAACTCCATCCAAATGTGTTTCAACCTGAAAAGACTCTAAAGACATAGAAAAGACTCAAAAAACCATTGAAAACATTGGTTAGAATACGTCAAAAACGCAATACATCATTGTGGCATATGGATGACTGTTTGATGTTCGTTTCACCTTGGTCTCCAACAGACACAATCTCTGTGCCCGAAATCACTACTGTCCCGGTTTGGTTGACCCTCAACAACATCCCAAACCAACTATACTCAATCCTAGGTATCAAATAGATCGCTTCTGGTATTGGGGAACCGATGCTCACTGAAAAACCTTGGTTGGAATCGATCCTACACAAATGGGGAGAGCCAAAATTCTAGTAGAGGTAAAGCTAAATAGACCCTTTCTACAAAGAGTTGTCTTAACGGATATAAGTGATAAAATCACAATGGTGAAGATTCTTTATTCTTGGTTGCCTACTACTTGTACTGGATGTGGACAATTAGGCCATAAAATTTCCCGATGTCTTCTTCTAAGTGCGGTTACTTCTACGAGATATGCTCTTAAGGTTAAAGACATTGCCAAGGTATCTACAACCTTGGCTTCTCCTTCTGTTTCACAACATGCTGACATTACAAATGTGGAATCTGTTTCGGGAGGATTGGAAACCGACTTAGATGCTCATGCTCCACCACATACAACAAAATCAGCTTTGGAAGGGATAGAAAATGTGGCTCTGAAATCTCCTCAAGCCACATCAGCTTCAAGCATTAATGTTGCTAAGACTGTGATTCCAGTCACATCAGGTATTAAAGCTACTCCCTCCAAGAATTTGTCTTCATCTCTGACTTCTCCAACAGGTTCTAGTAATAACACTATAGTGGTCTCAACAAAAGAGACACTCACTCTGAAACAAGTCACGCCTTCTACTGCTAACGCAGCCCCTAGTAGCCAGATTATGTCTACCATTTCACTGAATAATAATAGGTTTTCATCTCTTGATTCTTCGGAAGACGACGAATCGGAAGATGAACAAGCAGTAATGGATATTGACGTTGATCCTGATTTGGAATTCTTATCACCTACAGGTAAAAGGATTCTTCGGGATAGGCCTGTCAAACCGTCTACTAAGGTAAAAGAGATGGAATGGAGATTATTTATGGGTGGTCGTGGTAATCGTGGACGGGGAAACAAAGATGGTCGTGGCTAGTGTGTACCTCTGCTATATTTTATTTCTGTAGTCAAAGCGGAAGATTCGATTACTTTCTAAGTTTTAGTAACTTAATCTTTGCACTTTGTGTAATCATGTACCAAAACCGTTTTGACACAGTTTTCTACTGTGTTCAATTAAATAAAATATCTATTTAAAAAAAAAAAATTAGGAGACGATCATCCACAATTCTTGAAATGAAAGACCATAAAATAAAAATAGATATTTAGAGGCTTAATTATCTCATAGAACAAAAACAACTCTTAATTAACAGCAAAATGAACGAGTCATATCATACCATCACTAATAATAAGAGTCATCAAACCAAAGCAATTAAACAATGGAAGGATTCATATGATTCGTCAGGAAATTTAAGCACATCGACACATTCAACGTTACCCCAAACCTCACTTCCATTGCATCTTGATTCTAAAGAAATCATGGCGTACCGAATTTTGTTTTTCCGTTGGATACTAGAAATCGAGTAAGGATCCCACATAACTAAAATTTTTCCACCATAGTTAACCATATCAAAAACATCTTTATTTTTTAAACCCCTTGTACGGTGGTCACGCAATTTTGTCAAACCCTTGATCTCTCTACATTCTCTACCTTTAGGGTCATACCACATTAAATCCCCCGTGCAAGTGCAACAATACACTACATTCACTATCACACACCAAACCACTGCGGATTCCAAAATCGATTGCTCATTGACAAGTTTCCATGTACCATCTTTCGGGTAGTAAGTGTAGTCCTTTTCTTCTGCCGCTACGTAAAGCTTTCCTTCAAACACAGTCACTATATCACAATAATCGCGTCGTAACTGATCACATAACTCCTCGTTATCATCATCGCCAGGACCATGCAAGCTGTCCAAGGCTGAGTCTTTATGTCAAACACCTCAATCCAATTAGCAGGGTATTTGTCAACCTCGCAACCTCCGATCACATATATTTTCTCATCGAAGAATATCGCACTTGCTCTCTTACGTGCCACGGTCATGTTAGGGGCGTCACGCCAAGTGTGACTCCGACAATCAAGGATCCGAACAGAGGAAGACGGCTCATTGAAGTGGTGTCCACCGATTATGTAGATGTCCGAACCAACCTCTACAATGTAATTTGTTATGGTAGGAGGATGGGATGAAGAAGAAGAAAAAGGTATCGGAACAACCGAATTTCCACGTGAATCTTGCTTAAACCTAATCTTGCGTCTTCGTCTGGTTAGAGTTTGATTAGGTTTCGACCAAAGACTAAACCAACTCGGATATGGTTGATCTCGCAGCTTTAAGCAAACATAGACACATGTTTCTTTGGCTCCAATTTGAGATCGTGTCTTATAGATTTCCATAGAAGACGAGAGATCGGAAACTCTTTGACACGAGGGAGAGACATGGGTAATTCCATCTCGAGACACGAGCAAGAATGTTCTCTGTGATTTCGTCTGGTAGTGACGAAAAGAAACTGGCTCAGTTTTCTGCGTTGGTTCAACTTCTTTAGAGATCATGATAATAGAAAGACTTGCAGTAGAGGCTATCAATTATATAGGGTTAACTATATGCGATTAGGTGTTTTTAGAAGAATTAACGCATAAAGGCCTTTTGCTATGATTTTTTACATTCCAACCTTTCATCTAAATTTTAAATTATCTATACTAGCCTATGTTTACAAAAATCAATTCTGAAAAATAATTAATATAAAAAATTAATTCAACCCTATGTCTCGGGCCAGATCAATCGAGCAATCCACATCAGAGTGTAGAAAACGCAGAGCTCAATCATAGCACCAAAGCTTGCGATTATTGAGAAATCAGAAGAGAAATTAAAGAGTCTTTGACTTTTCCTTTCCCTTGAACAATTGACTGAACCAGCTTCTTTGATAGCCTAAGCAATATATTCTGCGTCACTAGTAACAATAAGTTTGATATTTTTATAACAATAACATTATAAATCCTCAAATGCTTCTCAATGAAAGATCATACGAAAAGAACAGCATAGAGACTTTTGAAGAAGAAAAACGACTCTCGGATGATTGCACAAAGTTGTTAATTCATACTGTGAGATTGTCTCATATGCAGAATCCACTTTCGTGGCCCGATTATAAGTTTTCCCAAGTTTCCTTCTCCTATTAACAAAGGCATTTTCGTTCAAATACCTTGAAATTTGATCACTAATTGTTTAGAGTTTACCATTGTACTATTTTTAATTACTATTGTATTAAATATTTTCAGACTTCTTGCAATTTGGTTAATTCACTCTCAAAAGCAAAGCTCATTAATATGGGACCGACACTTTTATTATATATATGCTGGTTAGATACAATAACATATGGTATGATCTCACTTTTTATCATACTGAAAAGTAGTAAATTGCAAAAACAAACCCTTACATCATAGCTTTTATTTTTTTGTAAAATGCTAATAAGAGGCAGCGATCATCATTTTGGAGAATTCGTGGAAAGAGAGAAAACCATCTCCGTCGAGATCGGCCTTTTGCACCATATGCTCCGCCTCTTCTGCCGTAATCTTCATCCCCATATCCTTCATTCCTTCTCCTAACTGCAAGTTTAAATTTGCATTATATTTTTGTGTATAGATTAAACGTTTTCTAAAATTTAAGTTAGTTAGCCAAGAAACTAATTAACTATGACAACGACATTTTTATTTCTTGTGGTCAGTCTTGGCCCTAACAATGCGTGTCCAATTGTTGTAATGTCGGTTTGTGAAAAACAAAAACAAAAACATGATCAACGTGTGGTGCAATGGAATTTTGATCGTGTGGATGATATTAAGCTACAAAGATTGCACTATGCTGAGCAGATAAGTTATGAAAAAATTAACAGATTTAATAATTTGCTAGACTTTCTGAAATATAGCATCCTGTAATTCCGTTATGTCTATCACTTTTTTATAAACCCTCTTTGCATATTTGTTATGTTATGAGTCTTATGACCAAGTAATCTTTGGTTTAAACTTTAAACTAAGAGGTTGAACAAAAAAAAATATTACCTCAAGTGCAGATATGAAACCGTCTCCGTCTCTGTCGAACACTCTGAATACATCTACTAACTCATCGGATGCCGATTCCTATACCAATTTTTCATTTAAAGTTCCTCTAAGTTACGTTGGTGATTAACCCTTCACTAATATCAAATATTTTCAAGTGTATATAATATTACCTGAGAAGTGTTTTGAGCCATTATATACAAGAAATCTTCAAAAGTGATGCCTCCGTTACCAAAGATATCGACATCACTCATCATCTCTTGCAATTGTTCGGCTTTCGGATTCTTCCCCATCGATTTCATCACTATCGTCAGCTTCTCCTTCGTTATGACACCTAATTTAACACAAACCATATATCATCATCAACTGGATGAATTCTAATGAGAATTGTGTTATCAAAACCGAATACAAAAGACAACAAAATCATACCATCCGAATCTTTGTCTATGAGACAAAAGGCTTCGTAAAACTCTTGGATCTGCTCGTCCGTGAAAGCATCCGCCATCTTTTGGATCACAAAAAGAAAAAGTCAAAGCCTCTCTCTCTTTGATGATCCACTAACTTTCTCTTGATGATGATGAAGATATTGAAGAAGCGTCTATCTTATTTAAGTAGAGGTTTAGATTACTTTCACCTCTTGGCTCTAACTTGGTCAAGGTCAACACATACGACCTTGCGTTTTCATTATTTTGATTTTTTTTTTTTTATGGGGCACGACTCCAAGTCACGCGTCTTTGTTCAAACTATTTGACTTCAATGCTGTTTTCCCCTAATTTTCATAGTTTTTGAATTAGAATTTAATCATGTACGGGTTTGCTAATAAAAACCTTTGATTATTCAGCATTGAATTTGGATCTTGATTTTTAGAAGAGTAGAGTACTGCTTGGGTTTGAGGAGTCAAGTCAAGTAGTATTTAAACTCACACAATAAGAGCAAGTAGCATTTTTTTAGATGAAAAGATAATATATACGGGTTCCTCTAAATATAACAACCCCTTGATTTTATACTTATATGGTATCCTAATAATGCATATCATAATATTAAAGACAATTATTTCGACATGAATAATTAGACAACCATACCTCTTTTTTCTTCATCTGAATATTATATTAATCACCGTAAAAAACTGAGTTGGAATACGTTTTTGAAATACAAGGATGGAATACGAAGATGAAATACGATGGAGAATCTATACCGAGATCCTCAGACGAAGAGACGAATTCTAAAAACATAAAACCCAAGTATAGCTAGGGAAACAACAAACTAAAGCCCCGAATAATAATCCAAACTAACCAACTCGAATACCAACAGAGCCGAAAGTCTTCTTTCCAAAGAACCCCATCAACTTAGAACCACTGCTTCGAATCACAACGTCGATAAAGGTGAGAAAGAGCTGCCGTACACTCGAGACAAAAGCACCAAATCCCGAGTCCAAACTATAACCAACTAAGAGTGACAATAGCCAAAGTTTAACCAGGAAGAAGAGCTCATCCACGAGCCAAAGTAGAACCCAACCATATCTCAAGATTCTTCATATTGATACACAACCCAGTACCCGAACGCAAGGTGTTGGTATGCATAGCGCCAATAAAAGAGTTATTCACATCGGATATAAAGGAAACTAAGCAGCAAGGCGAGGAAAAACATTTTTGAGAACATCTTCTTCATCAAAAAAGAGTCACCCTTAATCAAACAGCGCCAAAAGACCACCTCAAGCAGGGACTGGGTACAAACGAAGGCATAGATCAACCATCCGGAAATGAGATAGAGCTTATGCCAAAATCAGGGACATTAGAATGAATTGACCATCTCCGAGCAAGCTAATACCAAACTAAACTAATACCAAACCCCTAAACAGAAAGTTCCTAGACCGAGCGACAAAAGCTAAGATCGAGTCGAAGCTATGACGGCCAAATCAAGAGCAAATGTAGAACCAGACAAAACCAAGAGCATCAGGACCAGTGGAAAGTCCATGTCACAACCAACCTATGGAGAGCTGACGCCAACCACATACTCGCTGGACATGCACCTCACACCGCCAACGCCCAAGATCCAGATGTATCTGAACCCGTCATCTTCACCGGACCCAACCTCTTGACCCGAAGCCAAACTCCAAGGCAAAGAACCTTGTTACTACAACCGAGAAATACAAGTAAAGAGAAAACGAAGGAGAAATCCAAGGGTCCGGCTCCGGCGCTGAGAAAACCACCGACCGCCGGACCAAACCAAGCAATTTCCGAGATGGAATACTGTAGCGGCGGCTGTTCTCTCTGCAGCTCTGTTTTTTTTATTTTTAAATATATATATTGACTTAAAAAATATATATCAAAATGCAGATAGTCTTGCAAAAGAAGCTCGATGTAATTTGCAGAATTATGTCATTAAGTGGATGTAAAACAGTTCATGAATATAACGATACTTTGACGTCAAAAAAAAAAAAAATATTGACAACCATACTATATAACATGTATTCTAGTCCTTCTAATATATATATAATCTACTGGTTTATGTCTTGTCGTTGTGTCACTATCTATATTCAAACCCATATATTATATATACCTAAAACCGAGACAAAAACTACATTAAAAAAAAATGAGTTTGAAAAAAAATTAATCTAGAAACACTCTCTTTGAGAGAAAAAAAAAAGTTTGATCAATTCATATTCATTTCTAATGAAATCAGTAAGGAACTTGAAATAAAAGTTTTTTTTTTTAAAGGTTTAGTTGAAATAAAAGTTGCATCAATTCTTTCAATTCAAGATGACTATGTTATAAATTATGATGATCAAACTTGTAATTATTAAGAAACTTAGACAGAAAAAAAAACTATTTTTTTAGGGTCAATTGCAAAAATAACTAAAAAAAAATTAATAATTGGAAAAGTAACAAAATTAGCATACGTGGCTAAATATCAACTATTAGATTTAGGTTAAATGGTTAGAATTTTTATTATAGTTTTTTTTTGGGTTATTGGATGCAATTTCCGTTTTTGTGATTCACTAGATAATTTTTTTGAAGATTATAGTAAAATATTTATTTAGGGGGTATATTGTGT